TTTCCTTCATTCCAAACTCTGAGGATAAGAGGTATTGGATGGGTAGTCCTACAGGAGTCTTTTTTTGTAAATACTTTTTTCGAGTTTTTTAATTGATAATCCTTTGATTCCTTTCTCAAACCATCTTTGAAGATTTGGAGGGTGAAGAAGATGTCTTTAAAGGTGCTGGTTTGTGCATGAATTATTTCTCATGCGAAAACTAGAAATACTGAGGTTCTTCAAAAAAGGAGACCAAATCATTGCCTTCAACCGCAATGGTGTGTTATGTGTAGATGTGAGAATGAGAATGTTGATCACCTTTTTTTGCATTGACTTTTGGCATAGAAGCTTTGGAACAAGTTTTTTGACCTTGGGGTTTTTTTCTTTTGTTGCCCCAAGGACTATGATTTCTATGTTTTATATGGACAATGTGAGATTTGAAGGGAATTGTAGATGAAGGATTATTTGAAATAGTGCTTTCTTTGCTACACTTTGGGTGATTTGGAAGGAAAAAAAATGCGATGATATTTGAGGATAAGAGTGAAGAGCTTACGGGTTTATGGGATATAATTTATCTTTTGGCATCTTTTTGGGCCTCAATGTGGAAGGAATTGCAAGATATAACTATCTTTTATATTAAGACAAGCTAGAAGGCATCGTGCAGCTTGTAAATTATTCGCTCTTTGTGTCTGCATTGTACATTTTGTGGTGGACTGCTTGTCCACACTTGTTTTTGATTTTTTGGTTTTATTGTAATAATCTATTGATTATCAATACAATTGTGTTTCTTATCGAAAAAGGATAAGATTAAGAAAAAATGGCAAGGCTGGAAAACAGCGGCAAAACTGGTTCTCGTAGCCTTTTTATTGGTTTTGATTACCACATTTCAGTGCTGATATCGTCATCGTAACCAATATATTCCCATCCAGTTGCAGCTTTACATACTCCATGTCCATACGTGGACATGTGCAAGATTTCTACTTGTAAATGAAGGAAATCTCATGATATCCACGGGAGAAGCTGGAGTTCAGTTTGCAAATCAAAAAGATATGGTTAGTTGGGGCTTAGAGGCGTCTAGTTTGAAACAAGCCCTAATGGCTAAAACTGCTTGCAAGTATTCCCAAACGGACACTTTACTGATGCCCGGCCAACCTCAAAAGGGGACAAGAAGATGGACAAGCGTTCTCCGGGGAAGGGATTTGTTGAATGCTAATCTCAAGTGGCAAGTGGGTGATATAGAAACATTTCAGGCACTAGGACAAAATTGGCTTCCAGGAGTGGTCAACATACATCGGCATAGAAACCTTCATGTTAGCCTCCCCACTCTTAAGGTGACACACCTCAAAAACCTTGATACCAAACAGTGGGGGAAAGTGTTGGTCAAGGCCCTGTTTCCTCCCCATTTGATGAGGATAATCGCTTAATCCACCTCCCACATTAACCTATCAATCAGGCTATCATCTGTCCTTAAGCATGATTGGTAAGTCAAACAACTCCTAGGGTTAGTATATCACCACACATCAGCGAGGGAACTTCGGTCCAAGGTTTGGACTTTAGGAGTGCCTGAAACCATTAAATTTTTCGTCCGTAGATGTCTCACACCATATCTCACAATAGATTTTTCCCTTAAGCAGAAAGGTATAACAACAAAGGATAAATGTTTAATATATCAGGACGCAGAAGATCAATCACTTGTTCACTGATTTATCAGAATTGCTACGAGGGCCAGCCAGGGCTTGGATTTGATAGGGGTCAAAGGACACCGTTCAGAGTGGTTAAAGAGCTGAGTAGCCCGAAAAAATAAAGACACCAATTTAAGTCCATCTCAAAACTCCAAATGGTATGGAAAAGCGCATACCAACAGAAACTCGAGGGCCACCCTATGTGACTTTCTGATACAACAGGAATGGCTAAGGAATGTTGTTGCTGTGTAGCAGGAACATGGACATGTGCACAAGTAGCAAGTAATGTTACTTGGGCCAAACCCCCTAGATACTGGAAATAATCCAACACCAGTACCACCACAGATTAATCATTTGTACTCTCATCTGAACTGATGGGGCATGGTAGCAGGAGGTAAGTGGACAGGTATTGCAACAAATGGGAGCAGCTACAAATTCGTAGTTGCAGGCATAAGCAGCGGCATATTTAGATGCACAAAAAAGGGCACCACAGCAGAGTTTGTCTTGCATTTGTTGTGGCCACGTACTTTCGCCTCTTAGAGGAGCTAAGGAAGCATTTCAGTGTTGGGATTTTACTCCAATCATGCATCAGTACTAATTAACATGCCACTTAAGTATATGGACCTGAGGGCCACAATAATGTAATAACTCTAAAAAACACAATAAAGGGAGAGGAAAAGATTGAATTCAACTTCATGATTACAACACTCGTCTAAGATTTTTCAATTTAACTCTTAACATACGTGAAAGACTAGATTACGTATGGTATTCAAATAGGTTCCAAATGTAACTCTCAACATTTAATTAACACACTGCTTGCTAGAATAACACACCACTTATCCACTAATTAAGAAATCTTATAGTTCAATACAACTTCTAAAAACAAGTTTATATTCTAACAATCATATCATCAACGATATCTCTAGTATGGCGTCTACTTTTTTTGTTTCAAACTATGTGAAGTCTGCAGGCAGTTTGTCCATGATGCCCCACAAAAAAGCCATAATAGCTTGATCAAGCTACACCAGTCCTCCTAATTAAATATGACTGCTTAACAGTTTCTCAATGTATGCATGTTGAAGACTACACAAAAAGATTTGCTCAAATTTCACCGACCAATCATATACTTATGAAAATAGACACAGACACTCAAAATCAATCATCGATCTTATTGAAATCTTTCATTTCTAAAGAATATATTCTAGGGCTGTCAACGGACTGTCTAGATTCAAATCCAATATAAAATTAAAGTTTGGAATCCGATTCGTTTACCTGATGGATTTCAAAATCTTAATCCATCTCCGCATTTGTTAATAATCAAATATCCGATCCAATTACCCGATCCAATCTGAAAATTTGAATCCCAATAAAATTTCATAAAATAAAAAAAAAAAAATTAATTTTACTAAATTTAAATTCACTTTCAACTTAATTTAATCAACCAATCATTTTATTCAATAATTTCTGTTTAATTTCATGTCAATCTCATAATTTCTCTAATTATGTATGTAGTTACAATAATTTCTCTTATATATATATATATATACCGAATCAAATTTACATATATCCAAATCCAACCCCGTTTAAAAAAACTTAATCGGATTCGGGTAAACAAATTAAAAATGTTAATCCATATCCGGTTAAATGGACTCAAATTCGGATTAAAATCCACTCCATTGACAGGCCTAATATATCCTGTTTGTTCTCCTAATCGTGTGGAGAAGTAACACCTGATTTTTTTTTGGGCAAATATATGCATTACATCAAACAGCAACCGCAATTACATTCTCATTTCTATAGCAAGTCCAACTAGATGACATATCATACATGATAGTCTTGGGCAGAGAACGAGTAGCACAAACCAGGTTCACACCTTTCTACCTTATTTTGAACCATATTAGCAAAAGAAAAAAAAAAATCTCCTCACTACTAGACCATACAATTTGTGGATCTAATTCCATCAATCATATTTATAAAGCCAAAAAATTGGCACACCCTAGGTGTCATCATTCTGAATTTGTGTATGCAGTCGATTACTCCGTTCATGTCCTACATTAGAAATCGAAACAGCGGTAGAAAAGATATCCCAGTGTTACTTTCTGATAACCACCTATTCCGTATGGCATTGATTAAAAAAAAAAATCACTTCCATATCTTTCTTGTAGTTGGTGACTATTACTATTGAAGGTATAACATCCAATGTCTAATGGGAATTCTTCAAGCACATATTGGGAGAAGTTAGGAAATGCATTATGTCCAAACTCCCAACCAAAATTGCATCCAAAAAGTAAAATTTCTTGGCAAATCTTCATACATTTCTCCATTGAAAAAAGATTGCCATAAAAAGCAAAAGCTCGTAAAATAAGTTCCTTTTCTGGATCGATTATGCAATTACGCAATACAAACCCAAAAAAAAAAACACTTAGGTGAAACAACCATCCTCGCATAAAAGAAAAAATTTTGTACCAAAAAGACAAAGAGGTGATTAGAGACCACGTAGAATCCCCGATACAACACTAACTAGCAGTTTGGCAACTTAAGGAGGGAGGGCTGCAGTTTTGCAAGTCCTAACCTTTTAGATTAAGTTAGCAGAATACCTAGATTCATCCGCTCAACATGAATTCTCCAAGCTATGGTGACCCAACACAATCAAACCCACATTGTTGCCATGGTTTTAGATTAGGCATATCTGATTTATTGGTTAGGTGATATACATTTTTGGTTGTCAAAGAGGGTGTTTCAAGCACAACTTTTATTGATTATTATCTGTTGTTACCCACTAAAAAACTTAAATAAATCAGATTTCACCTTTTTTGCAATATACCACCCTAAGACCCGTTTGGATGACGGTAATCTTGGTTGGAAATGGTATTCTCATTCCTAAATCCTAGATCACCTTGTTTGGATAGTCAATTATTCAGTAATCTACTCGGGAATATGATTACTACTGTAATCAAATTCCCAATAATGGTGAGTATCCTAAACCCATGGTCAATGGTAGGAATCTCGTAACTACATTGATTGGGCATTCTACAAAAAGAATAAAAATCTCAAAATGAAGTTGTTTCCCAAAAGTAATGTCATTTCAAACACTTTTCTAAAACTTTTTACAAAAACTATTTTCGAATACTTTTTTTTGAGATACAATTCAAACACGCCTTTAATTCTCCTAAGATCAATTTTCTTTCTAAAATTAAGTTCTTTCCTAAAATAATTTGACAATGACATTAATTCACACATTAGATAGCTGACAATAACCAAACACTAAATATGAGATTACCATAGTAATTGAAACCCAGATATCTCATTACTAGGAATGAGATACTCATTCTTAATTAAGATTACTATCATCCAAACGTCCCCAAGAAATATCAAATCATTCAGGTGGAGTTTACAATGTCTTACCATGTCTGCTTTTTCTTCAACCAGTCCATAACTAATACACTTAAATCTTTAAATTCCCCAGGGACCCCCAGTCCAGATGATGGAGTTGTATCCTATAATTCATTAAAGGCAACAAGGCCTTTTTCTTATATTTCTGTATTTCATCCTATAGCATTCTTGCTGGCCTGGAACCAATATGACATCAATCACTAAGCTGCAAAGGAAGCCCAAAAACTAAAACAGAATCAGAAAAGAAGTAAAAATTGCTTCAATAACAAACACAACTGATATCAGCCAAAATTATCTCAATAACAAAACACAATCACCAAAAGTAGCACTAAACATATCGAAAAAAACGGTAGACTGCTGTCAAAATAACAACAAAAACAATCAATTAGCATAAACCCAAATTTACCAATCTAAAAGAAATAAACTTACACTTGCGTGTATTTGCACAATATACCTCTGCCTCCTATTATTCATCATATTTCCATCATTATCCACAGACATTATAATTCCTAAAACAAGTAACAAAACATGATATTAATAAAAACACCTAAAACTCACTCACAGTCATAGCCAGAGTGTCAAATCCCCACCCTGCACTGACTTGCTCCTCCGATCAACGACCCTCTATTACCATTCCCCGTCAGTCCAACCCGCAAATCACCGCAAAAAACCCTCAAAAACCGCCTCCTTGGCCGCCACGCCCCGGCCTTAAACCTAACCATAGCCACCATACTCACATCAAAACTCACACTGCCGCTATTCCTCTCCGAATTAATCCCATCCACAACCCTCCTATCCACATATGCCCCCGACGCCGCAAAGCTCGCTTTAATGGTGGTCATATTTCTGGTGGTCTGGTAAAACGGTGGTACGGTGGTCGCCGCGAGTGAATCAGATCCGTGGAAAACCCTAGCATCGATGTGATCATAGTAGAGTTTGATTTTCTTGTTAGGGTTTCTCACGGTGAACCCGACGTCCCAATTTCCGGAAATTAGGGAAGTGGAGGAGGAGAGGTTGAAGTTGGAAACGGCTACTGAGCCGACTCGGAACTCGGGGAGGCGGGGACGGAGGATGAGCCACACGATGAAGATGATGGTGCCCGTGATGATGAAGGCGGCTATGATCACGGCGAAGATGCGGCGGATGAAGGTGGCGCGCTGGGCGGCGTAAGGGTTTTGTTGGTGGTAGTAGGGGTTTTGGGCGTAGTATGGATGGTGAGGGGGTGGTGGTGCAACGTATGGGTAGGCGGTGTTGGTGGTGGAGTAACCATTGGGGTTGGTGCTAGGTTGCGCCGGAGTTGCCGCCGGATAGCCGGTAACGGGTCTAGAGTGTTGATCATTCATTGTGAAGCATTGAGAGAGAGAGAGGGCACGGAAGTGTGTACAGTTTTATTGTTTATCAGGGAAGGTGAGGCCAAGTGGCATCTGGATTCTTGCACTTTCTAGTTCTTTTCAATTGGAATAAAATATACTAAAATTCGATTAATTTTTTTTTAATCTCCAAACAATTTTTAAGCTGATTAAGATATAAACTCCAAACAATTTTTATATACAAAATTCGATTAAAATTTGATGCAATTAAGATTTATTTTTTTATATATTAAAATTTAAGTTGATTAAATTTTTTTTTCTATATATTAAAATTTGAGCTGATTAAATTTTATTTTTTTATACATTAAAATTTGAGCTTATTAAAAGTCTTTTTTATATATTAAAATTCGAGTCAATTTTAGCTCTACTTGAGTTGTTAGTCCCGATTAAAATTCACTTCTAGTCGATTAAAATTTATATTTTTTTATCTATTAAATTTAATTCAACTTGATTAAAATTTATTTTTTACATATTAAAATTTGAGTCAATTAAAATTTATATTTTTTTATGTATCAAAATTTGGGCCTATTAAAATTTAATGTGAATTGATTAAAATTTGACTTTAAACTCGAATAAAATTTTAATTAGCTCTAATTTTAATTTTTAAAAAAATATAACTTTTAATCGACTAAAATTTTAATACATAAAAAATAAATTTTAATTAGTTTGAATCAAATTT